AACGAAGTCTAATCGAAATACTAAGGCAGCCACGATTATTTTGCAAGGACGCATAAATCCGAAAGCCGGGTGTAAACATGAATCTGCACTTATGGGGAGGCAGGCGCGAGCGAGTGCGAGAAAGCGCGCAGGCTCCGTAGGAAAAGAGAGGTATTACCGTAGAACGTTGGATCGAAGGCTAAAGGATTCCCAATGCTTACTTCGGCTATAAAATGTAAGGGAAACGCCGATCTCTCTACGGTTTTCCTCTTCGTCTCGTCTTTTTTTTTTTCCACGTCTGCGCGCCCTCCTTCCGTTTTCTTTTTTGTATTAGCGCCAGTTCGCTGCTTTAGGATTGGGCAACGCGTACGCCACTCCGGCTATGAGACGTGGAAACGGATTTCTCGAGGGTGCGTAGGGTTCGCCCTCTGATTTTCGTGTGATGCCAGCGTTCAGGGAATCTTTACTTGACATTGACAAGCTCGAAATTTCTTTTTCAAATTACTCGCACCACGACGAAAACAGTTGAAATTCGTGCTGTTCGTTGCGATGGAAAATGACAAGCACATGCCGGTGGCCAGTTAATAACGAACTGCTGGCGATGTAAGTTGGTTTATAAAAGCTCTGATAACTGGGAGGGAGTGAGTTTTACCACGTATCGAGGAGTAACGAAAGCCCCCAACTCTCACAAGAGCGTCTTAACAAGGCGGCGGCCCGCGCACTCGAGAATTTTTTAGCGCTATCTCTCTCTCTCTCTCTCTTAAGCCGGAGCTCTAAGTGGAGTAAGCAAACTTAGACGAGTCAACGGGGTGGGGCCGAGGTGGAAATCGGCCCTCGGCAATTCAGATCTGCTTCTTGTGTGCTGCTGCACTTGAAAGTTGCGCGGCGTTAACGCGACGTCCGCACCACGCGCAAGATCGTTAGTATTTCGGTTCGGCCGAGTGCGGGTTTAATACCTAAATTGAACTCGCCGATAACCGCTAACGAGTAAACAAACGCCCATGGAATAGTTAACTTACGGGTAGGGTGCGCACATAGTCAAACCTATCTTGATGAGAGAGAGAGAGAGAGAAAGCTCTGAGATGACCAAGATATGTGTCGAGCGAGCGTGGGAACTTAGAGGAGTAGACTACCAAGGTGGACAGATCAGCGTGTTTTTCATCGAGCATTTTAAATAACCCAGAGTAGGAGATACATCGCGAAATGTGCTATTGCCGAATGAAGTTCTTATTTGCTGCGGTAATGCGGTTTGTTTGGTTATCATTGAATTTTGGTATGCACGCCAATGTTGTTGCACTCTTTTTAGATTTCACCGAAGTGATTAATTGGGAAAAGTTGACTAGTACCGTAACTAATTGATCTATAATTTCCAACCGAAATTATTTCTAATATCATTATTGATTCACGATATTAATTAATATCAAATAAAAATGTGTAGAATCACATAGACTGCTTGGATTAGAGCGAGACCAGAATTTATTGGTATGTCAATCAATTGCGCAGTCCAACCCCATTGGAATGACTCTTAATTATATTATTTCGCTAGCGAATGAATCAAGGAAAAGCAAAAAGTGTGGCCGCGCTTTCGTGGCGAAATAAAAAAAACAGCAGATAAATGAAACACTTACGGAGCAGAAGTTTGAGCAAGAAGTGTATTAATAGCCGTGCATTCTCATTTACTTGGTAGAAGAGAGAAAGAGAGAGAGAGAGAGAGTAGGTAAACCGGGACCTTGGGTTGGGGTTGGATGCAGTAAACAGACAATAGCTCGAGGCTGAACAAAAAGGGTGCGCTTAAACAAAATCGGCGATTACTTAGCGCGCGAGCGCGAAGCGCAGTTGCCGGGCTAAAGACGCCGTTACTCCGGGCTCGGCGCGATTTTTCTGTTTATCTTTTCTTTTTCTCGTGTTTTTTTTTTTTTTTTTGTCCTCGTCGCACGAATGTTGCTCCATTTAAACTTACCTCGTCGCATTCCCTGCAAGGAGTTCTTCTCCAGCCGGTCTATCGCTCTCTGTACTTCGATTTCTTTTCCCGACCGTAGTTCCGACCCAGCGAGCTTCTTATGTGCCGCGAGATTTTCTTAATTTCCTTTTGTTCCTGAGCCCGGCTCGTTCAGCCGAGAGTTGGCACGATTGAGTCACGCCAAATGGACTTTTTACAGATCGACTCCCTTACCTATTGACTCTTAAAAACGACAACAAAAATCGGCACTATGCAATCGATTTTTATTATTTTTCCGTATTAAACGATTTGGTACTGCACCCCCTAGTACATTCATCTTCGAGTGCAGGACGTTTGAGTTATAAACTTGGAATTCCAAGTCACCCAGTGAACGCAAGGCATCTCCAATTACGGGTCGAGTTGGCAATTAGTTAGAGTTCACGACATGTAAAATGGACTTTGAAAGCGGATACTTGCAATTAAAGCCCTCCTAGCGTTGTAAGCGCGAGCTGAAGGTTGCGCTAGTAGTACAACCACGTTACAGTCAGGCAAGCACTCGTTGGCGTTCGAATTAATGTAAACAGTAGGGCTGAACTTTCGTGATGCTTAGACAAATAGTTCCGCGAGAGTCCCACCGTGGCGAGATTTAATGCTACGTCACGATCATGCGGCTCTTGAATGCTGTTCCGACTAATTACTTCTGTTTAGTGCTTCGCCGCTGAAATCTCTGCGTGCCGGGTGTGGTTCCCTTAATTTTCAGATAAGAATCTTAATGCGTGCACAGTTGATTTTACCTGAGCTGGTGTTCATGTGACCATGTCACGCAATCGTCAAACGGCTTTTCAAATTAAATCTGTTGCGAATGTGCGGTTGTCGTTTACGAGCAAAGGATTCGATAAACTTAGTTTAAAGCATGACGAAGCATAAAGCAAGGCCATTCTTTGAACGAGACATTATTCCAAGTCGGTGACTAATGAAAATCGCATAAACCGCAGAGAGCCCTAACTAGATCAGCTCAAGACATACCAGCTAACAGCTTTAGCCATTCCAGACTTAATAAAATATCAGTCTTCCTTTCGCGATGCTATCGCAACTCATTACGCATACGCTCGAGAAACGAGGACAAAAAGAATAAAAAAAGAAAAAATTGAGGAACAAAAAAAAGGGAGTCGACCCGCCGTCGGCGACGAGATTTGTGCTCGACAAAGCGCAACGACGTAATGTCATTTCCACCAATCTCGCGGCAGTCCGCGTGTGCATTACGCGTGGCTTTTTCGAGAGCAAAGGATAACACGATGACGGGAATCGTGTTGTCGAGGCCACGTGCAATTCTATCAATTCTCATGCGAAAATGGTTCGGCGTTGACGTTTTTTTATTGGCGAGAGAGAGAGAGAGAGAGAGAGAGAGAGAGATAAAGGAGAGAAAGATGAATTTCCATCTCGCGCTGTCGGTCTATTTTTAGATTGTTATCGCAGCGAGTCAAGAGTTTATTTTTCAACTTTATCAGATTGGATCTAACTAGAGCATATTCCGCAAGTTATTGTCTGAATCTTAATTCTTGAAAAATTGCGTCTTTCTAAAAACATTTTAAAACGCACACCAGTACCTCCGATAAATATGTATTCTTTCACTGAATTCTGATAAAAACCATACCTAGAACAGCACAAAGTATTGCTTTCTGAAAAACAATATTTTAATCAGCGCACTTGAGAAAGAGAGACAGAGAGAGAGACAGAGAGAGAGAGACAGAGAGAGAGAGAGAGAGACAGAGAGAGAGAGAGAGACAGAGAGAGAGAGAGAGAGAGAGACAGAGAGAGAGAGACAGAGAGAGAGAACGTGCTGGCAAAAGTAGCTGCGCGCGATAAACTCGCTTTGCACATAAGCCAGAGCTCTCAAAGCCTTCGCGCAACAAAAACAGCGCGAACACAGAATTACGCTAATTTGCATGGAAAATACAGAAACGATTTACACGTTGCCACGCCTCGTGAAATCAACGCGCGAAGAAAAAATGTTTTAAGACAGCGTTTCTCTTTTGGTTCATGGAAAAGTCAAAGTAGAGGCGTTCCGTTATCGCGCGGTTTCGTAATGAGGTAATAATAGCTTATTTATTTGATTTCCCACCATAACTTTTCATCTTTCTTTTTTCATTGCTATTCGAGATAACATTGATCTTGCGTGGAATGTCAGCTCGTGTTATAAAACAATTTTCGTCCGTGGATTTTCTAGATATATCGCGAGATGAGATATTTCCGGATGAAATTTTCATCTACTGTGGTAATGCGGTTTCTCTGGTTATTATTGAATTTTGGTATGCACGCCAATATTGTTGCATTCGTAAAGCGATGAATGCATATCTATCCCTTTCTCTGAGAGAGGGAGAATATTATGATTTACCGTAATATCCAATAGCACAAACTAATACGTATTTTTCATGAAAAAAATAAAATCGTTTTTGTCGCGCTATTGTGGAAGAAGCATTACGTTTGACGAGCTTAAACAAAGAAGTATTCACAAATGAATTGATGCCCGCAAAAAAGCATAGAGGCACGAAAGCCAGAGAAAAGTGGAAAGGAAAAATAGTCATTTAAACGGGGGCTAACGGGTGTACGATAAGCGCCACTGCAACGTGAGTTCTCTTTTTCCGATCCTTTTCTCGTCTTAAATATGAAAGCCACAATATCGTACTGATAGATATTATGCCGTAGCTGTGCGCGCGAGGTCTATGTGAACCGCCTAATAATTTTGCTGGGCCAGCTTGTGAAGCGAGTCACGAATGAAAAAGTTTTTGAATTGCTAACTATGAAGAAGTTTCTAATGCTTCACTTATATGACAGTTTTATGCGCACTGAAAATATGAATTACTTCTAGTGTGTCAAACCGTAAATGGAACGTTTGAGCCCTTCCAAATTATACGTCCTCTCGAGTTGGAAAAGTTGTACGCTTGTGCATTTAATGCGAAAACGACGTTTTCTCATTAGCTATGGCATTAACATAATCTCTGCATTAACATCTCCGTTTGAAAGCATAGTTTATCAATGTACCTTCTTTTGCATTTACAAAGTCAATGAATTTATGTTTCAGGAAAGCGAATACGGATTTGACGAACTATGGACTTAGCGAGTTACATTAGTATCACACGATAGAGGTAGGTTGGATTTCGCCCTTTTGGGTAATGTTAATAATTTCTGGAAAATATTTTTTATTTCTGTTTCTATTGAGAAATATCAGATATGCATAACGATGGTAAAGTTTCACAACACGTTGACTCCGTTAAATGTAAGTTTCGTAAAATAAGTAAAAACTTGCACTAACTTTCAAAACTTTGAAAAAGTCACACATGCTGTGGGATTTTGAAACTGTCCAATGGTAGTTTCTTGTCGTCAATTCAAACTCCATCTAATATTAATAATATGCGTTGTTTATATATTTATAAATTCGAAGACGCACGTGAATATTGAAAGTGTGATAAATAAGATTTCATTAAAATTTGTGAAATAACCAGGTAAAAATTTGCACAATGTAAGTTTAATTTCTATTTGTAAACCTGTTTAATCTTTGATAAACTTTTTATTTTTAAAAAAGATATGTTTTCCGCAGTATATACAGTTTTTATTGCCCATGTTCTACTAATACATGTCCTATGGATTTTCTTAATAAGTATTTTTTTTAATTTTCAAATCAATCAAGTATCATAATAATAAAATTTTGAACCCGACTACTTGCAGTTTCTTCGCAAAGCGATGCAAGGAGATGCTCGTTATAATTAGCGATATATTGATATTAAATAGTTTTACTTAAAATTTTTTACTTTTCTTAATGTAATCGAAAAAAAACCCTTAGTTTTTAGATTTTTATATTGTGATATCTGTAGTGAATTTAATAACATTTCAACAATTATGTCGATCAGATATGCAGGTCTTCAAATCGTGAACTCGGATGTGGTATTGATAAATTGCATCAAATTTGAGAAAATTAACTACATAACATTTATTCAATAATCTAGATGCTGTTGGTTAGCTTTTTCTAAGTTTCAATAAAAACATTTTGGTTTTTCATGAGCAAAAACTGTTGAATTGATAGTTGATTTTGAAAAAAAAATAACTGGTAAAATTAGAAAGTGAATTATCAATTATAATCAGTTCCATCTATTTCTCATAGATAGATGTTTTTATTCTTTTAAATTATACAAAAATATCATAAGAGGAATAGAATGTGAACCCTTCCTATAATTATACACAATAAAGCGAACTCTACATTTTTTTCAGCATTGTCAAGTAACATTTATTATTTCATTCAATTATTATTACAAATCATTGATATCTAAAAGTTATTGAATATATATGATAAAAACCAAAAACCAAAGTAATAGTTGCCTATAATTAGTTTAAAATATCTAAAGGTGTCAACTCTTTCTTTTAAAACCTTCGTTTAAAACTCGTTCTTTTTAAACCTCGCTAAAAGGTATTTTTCAAATTATATTTCAATGTTACATACCTTGTTGTGAAGTTCGTACAAGGAAGGATTCATTAATCATAGTATTAATTGGCCATATAACATTATTCGAAAAATAATTATATTTAGACTTTCAATATAATATATATTATAAAAATCGAAATTGTTTATTCAAGCTTTTTTGCTTGAATCCTTAATTTCAATGTAGAAAATTTTGAAAATGGAAAATCTAGAAATCAAAACTAGCAAAGACTATTTCAGGCAATTTTTGAAAATAAAGAGGAAACGTTTGGCTTATTTAAAATTTGAAAATAAGAATTTTTTTTTTGGTTGCCGAAATGATGCTGCTGAAACATTCCACATGAATTTCAACCAAACAAAGTTATGGAAAAATTATTATACTTTTTATAAAGAACAAGCAAAGATGAAGAAACAGAACTATGCTTTCATTTCATTTGTGCATTGTGAAAAAGAGAATTTACACACCCGAATTTATTTTCATTCTGATCTCCATATCTATCTATATAGATGATTCTTATTTGATAACTTTGAAAAACAGAAAACTGAGAAATAAAAATTTTGACGGAGATAATTCCAAAAATGTTTGAGCCCTCCAAAAATGAAAAATAATTTTTTTTCATTCGACGATCAAATTACAACTTGGATATGTTTTTTTTGAATTTCCCGCGCATGTTCTGATCACATGATGTGATCACATGTAATATGACGTTACCATTGAAAATTTGCCTTGCCTGTTGTGAAAGGCACCCAGGAGCTATATCGCTATAGCAGCCAGCCATCAGCTGCCAGTCACCAGTTGCCAGCCACGTAGTTCAGTCTGACATAATTTCGTAATTATCATTGTTTTGCTTTTATTAAATTATACTTCACTTAGATTGAAATATTTGTTGCTTGAAGTGAATGAAGTTGCGCAGAGCGAACAAATGAATGGACCGCATAAATGACGTTTAATGTGCTGTTGGACGCTTATTCTTATAAATAAGATGATGCATGTTAACATGCTTTAGTGTCGACTGAAATACTGATCCTAATATAGATTACTTTAATTAACTACGTTTCATTTTATTATTTCTGTTATTAAAATTTGGCCTTTCTAACTTAATATTTATTTAAATAGAAATTTTAGTTGCTTTTTCCTTACCATTGAATTAGAAAATTTGGTTTCTACATAGATATACATGAGCTGCACCTTGTATTATAATAATTAATAAATAACATAGTTACAATTAAAAACAGTTATCAGTGCTTTTTTAATTCTGAAATTACTTATCTGAGTTATTATGATGTACTATTTACTTAATATTTTGTTTACTCTGACTCGCAACTTATTGAGTGTTACTTCGCCTTAATAAGTTCTAATTTACGTCATCGTTCTTCGATAAGGACTTATTTAGTAATTTAGTACTTGCATCATTTAGTTATTTAACATTTTCAAGTGAGGTTATTTAATTTAATTAGGTAAAAATCCCATTATGACGTAATTTAATATTCCTTACTCTAACTAATGATCTATATGTATAAATAGCTGAGGTTTACATAGTATAAGAACAGTTCATTTTGTGTGATTACCACAGTAACATCCATCTCTTTACGATTTACAATGGCTATGAGGATTCCCGATAAAATCGTAAGTTTCGAAAACAAAGTATTTCTTGTACGTTATTATTGTAATTTCTTATTTTTAGGATATTGAAAATTTTACTATCGAAAACAATATTCTAAAAGGAATTAATGTTGAGTTTAATGAAAATATCTGCTTTGGTGAAGCTATTCTAAATTGTTTAGATTCTAATCCACATCATGTCGCACAGGTAAGACATTAAAATTACGTTTAGGTCAGAAAAGAAATAAAAGATGTTATGTAATTAGATAGAAGCAGATACTGATAACAAGACTACCTTTGCTGAAATGAAAGATCGTAGCGTAAGATGTGCTCTATGGATGAGAGAATACGGAGTGAAGCCTGGAGATATTGTAATAGTCTGTTCTGACAATCATTTGAATACGTACATACCTGTTTTAGCTACTTTTTACGTTGGAGCTATCTTAAATGGATGGGATCATAATATTTTATTGAGTAATAAAATTTCTCGATCTCGAACGAAACTAATACAAGTGGTCAATATTTTAATTGTCAATTACTATTTATCTTCGTTTTAGCCACGGCAAGATATTTTATTAAATTCTTTGAGCCAAAATTAATATTTGTTTGTGAATCTGCTGCACAGACTCTATATGAAGCGAAAAGATTGGAAAACGTTAATACAGAGATAATTGTTTTCGGAAAATATTCTAACCTTAAATCATTAGATGACATATTGCAAGTTGAATCTGAAGAAAAAATTCGAATGTTCCACCCGTTACAACTAGCCAATCTGGATGAAACTGCTATAATTCTATTAACGTCTGGAAGCACTGGTGCGCCGAAAGCCGTCGAGCATTCTTATAAAAATTTTCCAAAATTGATACAAACATTCTATATACATCCGCTCAAAGGAATAAGTCTATGCATGGCGTCAGTTTATTGGTTGACTGGTGTTATGCATTTATTTGTATCCACTTTTACATATGGAACGAGAATTATATTCAGCAATCCGGATATGGACGAGAGATGCAAGGTCATTCAAAAATATAAGGTTCTTGTTTTCTTAACTTCACTAATTTTAAAAAATTCTGCGTAATAACAATTGCTCTCATCGTAATAACTTTAAATTTTGAACTTAGATTGAACGAATATTCTTGTCACCCGTCTCGATTAATTATTTCTGTAAAGGCGATCTTTTTAAAAATTATGATCTCCAATCTTTAGAGCTTATAGTTACTGGTGGTGTCAGGGTAAGCCCACAATTATTAGAGGAATTTAAACGCAAAGTGCCAAACGCTTTAACAATTATGAATTATGGTTTGTACGAAAAAGAAAAAAAAAACCGTTAATTCAATATATCCAAGTGCATAATAATATTGAATAAAAATTAATGAGCATGTTATAGGCCTAACAGAAACTGGGCGTATGGTCACGTCTCAAACGGAAACCACAAAAAATATTGGTTCCGTTGGTGTTGTTGCATCAAATACTCAAATAAAAATAATAGACATAGATAATGGTAACTGTCTTGGAGTAAATCAAGAAGGAGAAATTTGTGTAAAGCAGCCTACTCTTATGGTTGGTTATTACAAAAATCCTAAAGAGACCAAAAAAATGATTGACGAAGACGGTAACTCAATAGTTTAAGAAATATAAACCTCGATATTCTAAAGCAAATTTGTATTATTTTGAAAAATAACTATATGCAGGTTGGCTTCATACTGGCGACAAAGGTTATTTTGACGAAAATGGCGAGATAACAATAACTGATCGAATGAAAGATGTGATAAAATATCGTAATTACCAAATATCGCCAGGAGAACTGGAAGAAGTTTTGTTATCTCATCCTGCAGTGATTGAAGTTGCTGTAGTGCCTATTCCGCATGAGATTGATAATGAGCGACCAATTGCTTTTGTAAAAGCACAAACTGATGTACGATTATTTTCGACAAATATTTTTCTACTGTTCACTTTTTTTACTTTAGAAAATATATTATTTTTGCATTTTAGATATCTGAAAATGAACTTGTAACGATGACGTTAGTTCTCGGAGAGAATAATAAGTTGAGTGGAGGTGTAAAGTTTCTCAAAGAATTACCTCTAACGCCAAGTGGAAAGATTGATAGACGATTATTAAAAGAGATGGCTAAAGCTTTATAGAAGGTACAATGATTTTCAAGTATTTCTAGCGGTATTCAATCACAATGAGAATCTATTTGGATAAAATCTGAATAATGTCATAGAAAGGCCAATTTTTCGGCTTTAAAAAAAAATTAATGTAGATATACGTAAACTGAGAAAATATAAAGCTTTATTGATTGCTTTAATAGGTTTTCTTCTTTTACCTGAATTATAACATTTTTAATGTAGAATTATAAAGAAAAGAGTTATATCGTATATGCAATTAAAACACGTAATTTGTACGGAGTCGAGCGAGTGTAAGAGGGGAGGAGCTCGGAAATATGCAGCAGCTGTTCTTACTTTAGCGGCCGTTCAGTTCTTCTCGTGTCGGCTCGGTAATCCGCAAAGTGGAATATTCAGGAAGAGTTGGCACGCCGTCGTGTATTTCAATTAGAACTTGCGCATTCGCAATCGTCTGCTCTCTCTCTCTCTCTCTCTCTCTCTCTCTTTCTAGAGAGTCTCTGTGTTATATTTTCACGTCACGAAGTATGTTTCTGCAGGTATATATGCTATATATATATATATATCGAGGGAGCTTCGGGGCGTTCAGCGCTTGTTTGCTCTACATCGAGCGAGCTTCGTTATCCTTTTATACTGTTAAAACTTTCATGCTGCTTTAATGATTCAACTTGCAATAGCATCGATACTACTCGCTCACTCCCTTCCTCTCTGCTCAAAGTTATTTTGGAATGTCGTTATGAGGATTTAATACCGAGTCGCATTAAACGCTGAATATTCGCATAACTTTCCAACATTTTGCTAGTCTCTTTTGTATACAATTTTAATAACGTCGTTTTGCTGTGCCACCACATACTCAAACTTTATTTTCATACATTTCCGATATCGATTGTGACAGCTCGTGAAGACTCAGTATTATTTGCCGACTGGCGCATTGTCTACTCGCTTTCAGGCGAGCATGACCAGTAATTCTTATACTTGTCTTCTTTCTGTATTTACGAACACGGGTCAAATATGACTAATTTAGGACGATGACTATATGTAAAAATTCTTCAAAGCTTCTCTTTCATTGACGATAGATCACGAGAATGAAATAATAATTAGATTTTTACAGAGAAAGTCGGCGTTGATAGTCTGATCGAACGTGGGTTATATCACTTACACGTTAGAAGAAAAGTAAGCTTTGCTGCACCAAAGGAATTTATTTTTCCGATATTCTTTATTGTTTTTCCCGCGCGCGCGAAATTGGCGCGGAAACGAAGACGAAAAAACTGATTCGCAGGAGAACTCAATTAAGTAGAAAGTACCGTAGGAGCTCAATCTTCCGGCGAGCGGAATATGCCCTTCCATCTTTACGACGATACTCGTACGAGAGAGAATAAAAGCGAGAAGAGAACGTGAGCGGGTAGTGTAAAAAAAAAATGGAAGAAACCGAGGATACAAACAAAAGCTGGCTCGCAGCGCGTGATATTCTCCGTTCGTAATCCTTCTACTGGCATCATTCCTCTCTTATTCGTATGATTGAATGCGCGCTTCATAAAGATCGGCGCAAGCGCGCATACGCGAACGAAGATTATGAAAGAGAGTGAGAGAGAGAAAGCGAGCGTATGAATAATTCAAAGCTACGCGAGAGTGAGAAACAAATGAAAAATAATGGCCGATACATTTGCCACTACTTTCTACCGTCGACTTTATTTCTATTCATTTTTCTTGCGAGCTCGTCCCAGCACTATATCTACCATGTTCGATTGCTTGGCGCACTTTCGTTTCCCACCGACAAGAGTCTCCCGTGCCTCGTTTTCTGTCATAAGTCGGAGCTATTGCTTCCACGGGCTTTCTCGCTTTGGGAATCATTGTTTTCGAAGAATCACTTTGGAAGTTTGGCAGTCGAGTGAATCTTCGGTTGTCTGCAGAGTGCTCTATAAAAGTTGATAGCTCAACAAATAAGTGGCACTGAAAAACGTTTCTGTAGTTGTTTCACGTGCGAAATAAATGTTAACGATTCACGAATCGAGCTGAAAAGTAAAATCAAGAATCTTCTGCGAATTGATCTCTCATCAATCAATCGCGTCGCGAACTGCTTATTCAATGCTTTTTGTTATCTCTCTCAATTTACCAGGTCAGCGGCACTCTTGTTTCAAGCCCGTCGATCGAGCCAATCGAGGCTGGAAATCAATCTAACCGAAGCGAAGTTGGACGGGAGGAGCTCGACGCAGAAAAAGAAAAGGGTGAGCTTACGAAAGACAGACCGAGAAATAATAAAGTCGAGACGCGCGAGGTCGACCTTTCTCTCGTTTTGCTTTTTTGCTGCTTTCCTTCGACGCATGAGAAAATTCTTCGAATTGCTTCAATTGACGCAAGAGCCAAGAATTTTTATAAAGTTGATCTTTTTATTGATGTTGCTATTGATGATTTTATTTTAGTATAAGAAATATCTTTCAATCATTTTAGTAAATAATGGATTTAAGAATAATATACCCGATGTTGAGACGCATATATTTGTAATAACACGAGAAATTTCATACACCATAGTCAAGCTCGCTTGTTAAATATTTTACGAGCTGTAGCTTAATTTCACAGAATCTGCTGCGAAAATTTGTGTGCAAAAAAATAAACAAGGTTCCTTGGAGCTCAGAATTTACCGTGTCAAACGAAGAAAGTTTTTCGCCATGTCTATACACAACTGTCTGAAGTCTGCAGCAGCTTTTATTTAATCTAATTGCCCACCGTTCCTACGACAGAAAAGTTTGGCGCGATCAATCTTGGCTACGTTTCTGCTTGGCAATTATTATGGCCTGGCTTGGGCTGCAAGCTATTGAATTACAGGAAATTGACTATCAAGAAAACGATATAGGCGTGGTATGAGGGTACGAGAGAAAAATTTAAAGTACGAGTGCACTTTACTTACGTGTTTGAAACGTAAAATGGCATTATGACTGCGAACATTATTGTTTATAACTAAGAACAATATAGTTGTCATTATATGGAAAAAAAATTTTCATTTAAGGTTTGCATAATCATTCCGTGGGTTGTGTGCTTAATAATTTTCACGGCTGGCAATGATTTTATTGTTATTTGAGAATGCTCATACAGATGGGAATCCTTTAAAATAATATAGTAGTATTTATTTTCTATGATTTTCCGATAATATTGCAAATATTGTATGGATTTTGCAAAATCATTACGCACAAATCAAAAGCCTTATCACGTTTTCATCTTTGATTCATTGCTGCAGAAACAACTTAGAAAATATATTTAATCAGTTCTGTTGCATCATATAAAATGTTGACTACTAAAAAATAGTGAACGTACGTGGAAAGAAAAGCATACGACCGAGAGCAAGGACTACCCACGACAGCTCTGCCAAGCGAATTCCATTAAACGACCTCGAGTCTGCATTGCAAACTAGTATGCATATTTCATGCGCTGGCGAGAACAGTTGCTCGCCATTTATTTGTCATTTTCATCGCGCGTGTGGCGCGACAGTGAGAAGCCACGCGGTGCGTAGTAGCCACTTTGTTACAAAGAGGCGTCAACCCAACTAAGTTATTAACCTGCGCGTAGTGCGAGAGTTGCGCGGCGAAAGAGACCGAGAGGGCAAAGTCTTTGTTGCGAGTCCTAAAAGAGGCCTGGACCCTAAGTACTGCGGTGTAGCAGCAGCGAGGTAACAAGAAGGACCAAGTTTACTCGAGTTTGTCAGAGCTCCCATGACCTGCTTCTCGACACGGCAGCAGGCTTGCATAGTTGCGGCTTGCGGTGACTTGGGGTGTTGTTGCGCTGCGCCCTGGTTAATTGAGTAATTAATGGCGATTTTTAGCCGATTAACAAGTTGAGTTGTAATTTGAACGATACGTCGTTAGATGGCGGATAATATACAGGTAAAATTACAAATAATAAGTTTTAATAACGCCAATATCGCAGCTACACTAATATCGCCTGACCAAACTCGATCCATTCTACTCGCAGCGGAAATTGAAAGCTAGCCGACTAATCATCTCAAACGATGCACCACATACCACGCTGGCAAAATTTCAAAAGCAATTTAAGCGAAGTAAATTAACGGAAAAATGATCTGCCGCCTCCTTCTCTCCTGCCTCTCTATTTGCTTGAAATTGAATTCTGTTTCTGGAATAGCGTATCCGCGCACGCGCCGTCGTTATGGAAAATCAAAAATGGAAATGGATTTCTCTCGGGCAAGGGCCAGTATGGAATCTCGAGCGACGGCAGGACGTACCGTAATGCACAGTGGTTGTGGATCCCCGGTCCGAAATTCGCTTGTCCACCGACGTTAACGACGTTAGCAGGGACTTCTCCCAAATGGCTACGTCAGCTTCCAAATTTCGTTCTGGGTCTGACGATGGTTTTCGTTTACCCCACTAGTTGGCTAATCGAATTGGTCAGTTGGCTATTGAAAGTTGTACTCGATACAATGGTCAAAGTAGCACTGAGATTCGGTTGTTATTTATTTATTATTTTCTTTTCGTTCGACTACCCAAGTCTCTACCCGTTTTCAAGCGATCGTTCGATCGAGTCTTTCATTTCGACGAACTTAACGCGCGCTCAAGCTGGCACTCGTTAATCGTGTTTTTCGGATGTGAAAAGCCACTCTCGCAAAGTTTTCGGTGCCATGGTCTGCTAGCTGCCCTTCTCTCTCTTCTTCTCTCTCTCTCTCTTTCTCTCGCTTTCTCTCCCTCTCTCTCTCCCTCGCGTTCTCTTTTTCCCAGGTCGGCCACAAGCTTTTACCTTACCCACCGTACTGTGGCTGAGTAAGATTCTCTCGTCAATGAATTGCTTGCTTCGGATTCTCGCGTTATTTTGCTGTTGTTTCTTTCGACGCTGTATGGTGCCTTTGTTTCAGTCTGGCAAATTGTTTACAGTGCTGGAGATTGTATAGGTCATTGCACTCGCAATTGCATAGGTTATTCTTTTTTTTTCAATCACACAATTACTAAATAATTGGAAATGTATTACACGACGTCACCGAAATATTCGCCGAAAAACATATTCAATTGAATCTATACAATTCGTTTAAATATAAAATAAACAATGAAACATGATAGCAAATTGAATATAAAGAAATAACATATTCACGTGGAAAATCAGTATGTTCGATGCGCTTCCAAATAATTGGCATTGAATGCATTCAGAAGGAGT